TCACAAAGAAGATATGATATTTTTGACTCATGTAGAAAATAAATATTCATTCGTTATGTATATGTGTGTGTATGTATGTATATATTCATATGTATTTGTTATCGATTTTACACGTGTAAAATCGATAACAAATACTCACATTATGAACACTATTGAATATATATTTGATAAATGAAATTAGGTATATTTTTTTATCTAATCAATGCCAACTTACATTATTACCAAATATAGCCAATACCATTACCGATACCATTACCATTACCCACCGATATACCATTATTATACCGATAAAATTGCAAATTGTAGGGATTTCTTAAAAAAAAGACAGATTGTCAACATTTGTTGACACATTATTTCTTATCCAATGATAAGGAACACGGAAATAAATGAGCAACAAATCGTGCCAACTTGTCTGAGTCATTAGTCCCTAGGATAAAACCTAACTCCCAGACGAAGAAAATGTATAACCAGAAAATGTTTGATATATATCGTATTTAAATTTAATTTGTTAATCTCAACGACTTTAAAAGAGTAAAATTACACTCTACGTTAAACTTCAAAATCTATGTGTTATGTCAAATTTTCTAAAAGATCGTCTGGTGAAAGCACAAATAATTTTATTTCAAAAGGGACAATGAAATTTTCCCATGACAGAAAATCGTTTGGAATTTAAAGTTTTTTTTATTTTTTATTTATTTTTTTAAGATTGCTTTTATGCGTTTTGTTCATACATTAAATTTTAAGGGTAACTTTGTATAGCAACCGAGATAATTATATATAGACGTATATATTTAATTTCTTTCATGAACTAATAATTATATAATTAAATATTTTATAATTGCTCTAAAGGATCGTTTGGTGAAAGGAAACACAATTTTATTTCAAAGCGAAAATGCGATTCTCCAAGAAAAAAAAAATCGTTTGGAATTTAAAGTTTTTATTTTTATGTTTTAAGATTGCTTTTATGCATTTTGTTCTTACATTAAATTCTAAATTTATAGGTAACCTGTATATCGACTAAGCTTATTATATATATATATATATATATATATATATATATATATCTTTAACGAAGCAATAATTTTATAATTAAATATTTCAAAAGGAAAATGAGATTCTCCAAGAAAAAAAAAAAGTCGTTTGGAATTAAAAGTTTTTATTTTTATGTTTTAAGATTGCTTTTATGCATTTTGTTCTTACATTAAATTCTAAATTTATAGGTAACCTGTATATCGACTAAGCTTATTATATATATATATATCTTTAACGAAGCAATAATTTTATAATTAAATATTTCAAAAGGAAAATGAGATTCTCCAAGAAAAAAAAAAAAGTCGTTTGGAATTAAAAGTTTTTATTTTTATGTTTTAAGATTGCTTTTATGCATTTTGTTCTTACATTAAATTCTAAATTTATAGGTAACCTGTATATCGACTAAGCTTATTATATATATATATATATATATATATTTATATCTTTAACGAAGCAATATCTTTAACGAAGTAATAATTTTATAATTAAATATTTCAAAAGGAAAATGAGATTCTCCAAGAAAAAAAAAAAGTCGTTTGGAATTTAAAGTTTTTATTTTTATGTTTTAAGATTGCTTTTATGCATTTTGTTCTTACATTAAATTCTAAATTTATAGGTAACCTGTATATCGACTAATATATTATTATATATATATATATATATATATATATCTTTAACGAAGCAATAATTTTATAATTAAATATTTCAAAAGGAAAATGAGATTCTCCAAGAAAAAAAAAGTCGTTTGGAATTAAAAGTTTTTATTTTTATGTTTTAAGATTGCTTTTATGCATTTTGTTCTTACATTAAATTCTAAATTTATAGGTAACCTGTATATCGACTAAGCTTATTATATATATATATATATATATTTATATCTTTAACGAAGTAATAATTTTATAATTAAATATTTCAAAATGAAAATGAGATTCTCCAAGAAAAAAAAAAAGTCGTTTGGAATTAAAAGTTTTTATTTTTATGTTTTAAGATTGCTTTTATGCATTTTGTTCTTACATTAAATTCTAAATTTATAGGTAACCTGTATATCGACTAAGCTTATTATATATATATATATATATATTTATATCTTTAACGAAGTAATAATTTTATAATTAAATATTTCAAAATGAAAATGAGATTCTCCAAGAAAAAAAAAGTCGTTTGGAATTAAAAGTTTTTATTTTTATGTTTTAAGATTTCTTTTATGCATTTTATTCTTACATTAAATTCTATGGGTAACCTGTATATCGAAACGAAGTAATAATTATATAAAGAAACATTCTAAAATTGCTGTAAAAGATCGTCTGGCGAAAGCAAAGAATGTTATTTCAAAGCGAAATGAGCTTTTTCAAGAACATTAAATCGTTTGGTATTCCACAGATTTTTCTATTCCTTCTACTAGCTCACACTCTCCCTATATATATATCTTGTTCAAATTTTCAATCGTTCATAAAATATTTTTTATTCATCCACTCAAGTTCAAATACATTTTTTTTTAACTTGCAGTGGATGACACTTGATGTTAATACAGTTTTTCCAAATATTAATTCAGTAATTAAATTTAATTATTTATTATTATTTTTTTTAATTACTGCTATACGTTTTGTTCTTACATTAAATTCTAAATTCCATGGGTAACCTGTATAACAACCCAGCCGATTATATATATATATAATATATATTAGACAATTTTATTTCAAGAACATTAAATCATTTGGTATTCTATAATTTTTTTATTTTTCCAGATTGCTTTTATGCGTTTTGCTCTTACAATAAATTCTAAATTTTATGGGTAACTGTATATTTGCCAAGCCGATTACAATTTTATATCTTTATTATTATTATTATTATTATTTTGTATACGCGATACAGTGACACATTACTGTATTTAATAATGTTTTAAACCGTAATTTTTTTTTTTTTTTTTAATTTTTTTTTATTTTTTAAGATTACTGCTATGCGTTTTGTTCTTACATTGAATGCTAAATTTTATGGGCAGCCTGCATATCGCCCAAACCGATAACAATTTTATATCTTTTTTTTTTTTTTTTTTTTAATATTATTTTTGTATGCACGATACAGTGACACATTACTGTATTTAATAACGTTTTAAAGCGTCATTTTTAAAAAAATTTTAAGATTACTGTTATGCGTTTTGTTCATACATTAAATTCTAAATTCCATGGGTAACATGCATATCGGCCAAGATGATTTCAATTTTATATCTTTATTACTGTAATTTTTGCATGCATTATTTGCAGCGACACTTTACTGTATTTAATAATGCTTTTTAAACCGCCATTTTAATTTCAAATAGGTACTACAGCGAACGAAAAGGGCTGGTTGGAGAAGTAGCAAGAACTGCTGAGGGGTAGGACGAATAATACCCTGAGGAAAAGGGGAAGAATTCGAAAAGGAATACGCAACATTCTTTTACCTTTTGGTAGAGAAGAAAATATCAGGAGGGAACACGTTTAAGGAGCCCCATTGTCTGTTTGGATTGCTTCTCCCTGCAACTGTAACTTCAAAGCGAAAGTTTCAACTTGTGGGGTGCAACTACTGTGTGGGAAGCGTGTCGTATTTTCCACAAATAGAAGATTAGTATTCAGATGAGTATGGGCTTTTATTTGCGATTAACAATAAAAGCAACAGACTAAAAATAATTATGTGACAGAAAACAAAGTCAGTAAGTTCTGACTTTGACTGATGACTTAGACTAAACAAAGTTTAAGTCATCCGTTACTTCTTCATTGGAATGGATTGGTAATTTCCAAGTTAAGAAGTTAGTAAAAGCGAATGGAAAAAGATTCATTCCTAAGCTATTTACCATGAGTTCTTAATCAGAGGTCCACGGATCCCTAAAACAGTCCATGAATCTGGTTCAAGACCCTAGACATTTGGTAAAAGAGGGGTAAAAAAAAATAACTGAAAATGAAAATGATTTATCAAACATTTCTCATGTTGTAATAATTTATATGATTACTAATAAAATCAAGAAATAGCTTTTGCCACATTGGCAAATTTTTAATGATAAAATTTAAATTATCTATCATCTATTTTATTAATAAATGTACGCAGGAAAAAGTTACATGCATTATTGCTGTTAATTTTTGTTAATTGTTTTTAATGCAACTAAAATACTTTGTTTTTACTGTAAGTATCCTAAAAAACCCGGAAATGATTGATAACTTCCTAGTTATGAAATTAATAAAAGCAGATGGAAAAAGAACCATTTCTTAACTGTTTAGCATGAATTCTTAACCAGAGATCCGTGGATCCCTAAAAAGTCCGTGGATCTGGTTCAAGAAATTTGGAAAAAAAAAAAAAAAAAAAAAAAAAAAAAAAAAAAGATAATTTATCTAATATTTTTCGTATAGACCATAAGTTATGTGATTACCAATAAAACGTGTCAACGGCCCTACCATGCTGAATATACCGGTTCTCGTTAGATCACCGAATGAGCACCAATCTTAAAGGCTTACAATCTAAGATGGTGTCTGGCAAGTATTAAATAGATAACGTTGGATAATAAAAATGACTTGAAAACGGATTGAGAACCAGTACACGCAGCATGGGTAAATTAACCACCCATGGAACAAGATGAAAGATGGCAACTATGAAAGCTCTATGTGCAAAATATCCCATAAAGTTTTATTTAAAATTCAGACATACACATACACAGAAATACAATGATCACACACAGGTGATCGATTTGAATGAAATAATGATGTAAAACATATATATAAAAGATACTGGTATATTATAGGTAATTAAAGAAAATATAAGACAAAACTAAAGACATTATACAATTTGCTTTAAAGACATAGAATTAAAGTATAAAATGTAATTAGACATTATGGCAGGAGGTGAAGTAGATATGGTAAAATAATATAAACTAAAATAAAATAAAGTAAGATAAAATCAAATAAAATGAATTAAGATAAATGATATAGGATGTGAGTGAATGCCACCGAAGTCAAGCATCATTGGGCGCGGTCAGTACTTGGGTGGGTGACCACCTGGGAACACCACGTGCCGTTGGCAAATTTGGGACCTGAATGGCCGAGTGTCTAGCGCTCGGTGCCACAGGTTTCGGGTACGAATCCCGGCGATGCCATGGATGTTTGTAGTGGTTCAGAATCCACTTTAAGCCGTAGGTCCCGGTCTTCTATGACTGTAAGAGCGTCACGGAGCAAAAGTCAGGCTTCTACCTACGGGTGCTCCATCACAACAGAAGCTGCTTCCTTCCCCTTCAATCATGAGCACGTATGGGCTCGTGGGCTTGGCCAGCCAAGTGGGATAAGAAACAACAACAAACCAATAAAACCAACATATTGCTTTTGTCACATTGGCCAATTTTTAATGACAAAATTTAAATTATATATGCATAATCATGTATTTTATTAATAAATATATCTAGGAAAAGGTGCATGCATTATTGCTGTTTATTTTTGTTAATTGTTTTCAATACAACTGAATTACTTTGATTTTATTTCAAGTATCCTAAAAACATCAGAAAGGATTGGTAATTTAAGAGTTAAGAAATTAGTAAAAGCGGATGGAAAAAGATCCGTCTCTAAGCTATTTACCATGAGTTCTTAACAAGAGATCCATGGATCCCTAAAAATGTCCATGGATCTGATTAAAGAACCTAGAAGTTTGGCAAAAGAAGAAATAAAAGCGAAAATAAAAATTATTTACCTAACATTTCTCGTATATACAATAAGTTATGGGATTGTCATTAAAACCAACAGATTGTTTTTATCAAATTGATCTAGTTTTTAATAATAAAATAATTATCTATGCATAATCATATATTTTATTAATAAACGTACCTAGAAAAAGGCACATGCATTATTGCTGTTTATTTTTGTTAATTGTTTTTAATACAACTGAAATACTTTGATTTTATTGTAAGTGTTCTAAAAACATCGGAAAGGATTGATAACTTCCGAATTATGGAATTAGTAAAAGCAGATGGAAATATATCCATTTCTAAGTTGTTTATCATGAGTTCTTAACCAGAGGTCTACTGTTCCCTAAAGAAAGTCAGTGGATCTGGTTCAAGAGCCCAGCAGTTTGGAAAAAAACAGAAAAAAAAAATAATTTACCTAACATTTCTCGTATATATCAAAAGTCATGTGATTATCAATAAAACCCACAGATTGTTTTTGACACATTGGCCGAGTTTTTAATGATAAAATTTAAATTATCTATACATGTATTTTATTAATAAACGTACCTAGGAAAAGGCAGCAATAAGCTAAAATCAGCAATATAAAGGCAACTAAGACAGCAATAATACAACTATATATTATTGTTGTCTTTTTTGTTAATTGTTTTTAATACAACTGAATTACTACGATTTTATTGTTAAGTATCCTGAAAACATTGGAAAAGATTGATAAGTTCCAAGTTATGGAATTAGTAAAAGCAGATGGAAAAAGATCCATTTCTAAGCTATTTACCACGAATTCTTAACATGAGATCCTCTGATCCCTAAAAAAGTCCGTGGATCTGGTTCAAGAACCTAGAAGTTAAGAATTGGACGGAATAAAGCAAAAATAAAACTAATTTATCTAATGTTTCTCGTGTATACAATAAGTTATGTGATTACCAATAAAAACAAAAGATTGCTTTTGCCACGATGGCCAAGTTTTTAATAATAAAATTTTAAATATTTGGTAAAAAACGTATTTTATTAATAAATGTACCTGTGAAAAGACATATGTATTATTACTGTATATTTTTGTTAATTGCTATTAATACAACTGAATTGCCAACGGCCGTACCATGCTGAATATACCGGTTCTCGTTAGATCACCGAAGTCAAGCATCATTGGGCGCGGTCAGTACTTGGGTGGGTGACCACCTGGGAACACCGCGTGCCGTTGGCAAATTTGGGACCTGAATGGCCGAGTGTCTAGCGCTCTGGCGCTCGGTGCCACAGGTTTCGGGTTCGAATCCCGGCGGTGCCATGGATGTTTGTAGTGGTTCGGAATCCACTTTAAGCTGTAGGTCCCAGTCTGCTATGACTGTAAGAGCGTCACGGAGCAAAAGTCAGGCTTCTACCTACGGGTGCTCCATCACAACAGAAGCTGCTTCCTTCCCCTTCAATCATGAGCACGTATGGGCTCGTGGGCTTGGCCAGCCAAGTGGGATAAGAAACAACAACAACAACTGAATTACTTTGATTTTATTTTAAGCATCCTAAAAACATCGGAAAGGACTGATAATATCCGAGTTAAGAAATTATCTTTTTCCATCTGCTTTTACTAATTTCATATCTATTTACCGTGAATTCTTAACCAGAGGTCCACTGATCCCTACAAAAGTTCAAGACACTAGAAGTTTGGGAATTGAACGGAATAAAGCGAAAATAAAATAAACCTAATAAAAATAAACTTATCCAACGTTTCTCGTGTATACAATAAATTATAGGATTATCAATAAAACCAATAGATTTTGTCACATTGACCAAGTTTTTAATAATAAAATTAATTAAATACATGATCATGTACTTAGGAAAAGGCACATGTATATACGTAGGTTTAAAGGTCCATGTATTATAGCTGTATATTTTTGTTAATTATTTTTAATACAACTGAATATCTTTGATTTGATTGTAAGTATCCTAATAATCCTGTTCTGACAAGGAGGTCCTGCCATTTATTGACAAAAATTGCTAATGAAAGAAAAAATGTTAAATTATAGTATACAGCGAAACCTATTGATAAAATTTCTAATATACTATTTAACAATTTGTGTTTAATATAAGGGGAGAAATAATTATAATAAAAATTAATGCGTTAAAAATTTGTTTTTCATAATTAACTAGACGGACTGTGGCTTTCTTGTATTTCGTTCATTTATTAGATACTATAATTGTTATTGTTAAGGAAGTGATTGGTAAAGAATGATGAAAAGATCAAATTAAGCTTCAACGAATTTTTATTAATTTAATGAATGAGGTAGATAATGTTGATTTTTAACACTGTTTTATAATTATTTTACGTAATTTAATTTTTAATAATCATTACTTTCTCTTAACTAAGAACTAAGCGATGAACAATATTTCTTGCTAGTCTGTCTTTCGTCCAAATAAATAAATTCGATGGTTTTCCAACACGTGAGCATGCAACATACAGCTGCCCATGGGAGAAACACGGATTCTCCAAGTCCAAGCCACAAATAGCCATTGTCTGCCCTTGCGACTTATTTATTGTCATCGCAAAAGCCAAACGTATCGGAAATTGTAGCCTTTTAAAAGGTATTGTAGATTCTGATGGTATCATAGGAATTCGAGGTAACAGGACGACTTCGCTTTTAAACTTTCCAGTCAATATCGTTGCTTCAAGTACGTTTCCGGTAATTCTTCTAATCGTGTACCGTTGCATAATTTTGGTGGATTTAAGTTACGCAATAGAATGACCGGTGAACCAATTTTCAGACAAAGATTGTGTGGCGGCATTAGTGGCATATCCAGAGAACTTAAAAATTCAATAACGGAAAATTGACGATCTGGTTTTCATAAGCAATGGTGTCGATTGACTTAAAATCATCAGATTGCCTGGCAATAAATTTTGTATTTGAAAGTTAATTTCATCAACATCAACATTTTTTGCTGCCAAAGTTGCACGATTACTGAGCCAATTATGGTCTAAGTGATTATTAATAATATCTGGAAATACACTCTGAATTAGTTCATTTTTTGAATGAACAACAGAGCAGAAATCAAAATTCTTCAAAAATTTGCATGTAAATCCAAGTTTAACAATTAAAATAAAAAATATTTATGTAGCTATAATCATTTCAGAGGTCTATTCCCTGTAAACATTTATGAAAAACATAAATACAAAGTTTTGTAGCATTTGGATCAAAATTACTTGTGTTATGGTGTTCACATGAAAACAAAAAGCATAAAAATTCATTCTGAGAAAAAGCTAAAAACAACTTTTAATTAGAGATATTACTTTTAAAAATGTTGTAAATATATTAAAATGCCATTGAATTATCAAGTTCATAGTCTTATTTATTAAAAAATATAGTTTTATTTTTCCTTAAAGCTCTAAATATTTTCTGAGCTTTGTTTTGAAAAAGTTAAAATTTGCTCGACAAATTTTTTTTTTTACAACTTCCTCCTATTTGCAAAGGCTTTTTAATATGAAATGACCTGAATTTAAAATATTTATCCTTTTTGCAAGTGTTTTGATTAAATATATTCAAAACCTTTGAATTTCACATAAAAATATCAATTTTAACTATTTTTTATACAATTTATTCTTTAAAATATGGATAAACATTGCAAAAATGTGATATTGTTGCAAAACTTGATAACTCAAAAATAAATAAAACATGAATAGTTTTTCCTTTGCAAGTATTTTTATGCTGCAAATATCCTTATGTAGGTAATATACTGTTTTCAAATTTATATCTTAATTATTTATACATTTTTGTATGCTTAAAGTTTGTCGACACAAACTTTTTTTTACAAATTTACAAAAATTCTTAGTTTAAAAACTGAAATAAAAATAATTTATGAATTTAGGTTAATTTCCATGTTCTATTCCTTTCATACATTTAAAGAAAACTTTTACATGAAGTTTCAAAGCATTTAGAACAGAAATATTAGTATTATGGTGTTTTGAATGAATACAAAATGCATAAAAATTCAAATAAGAAATAATTAAAACCAATGTAAATAAAAACAAATGTACATACATAAAAATGTTATTGAGCTTTAAATTCTCCTTTATTAATATAAACACTTATTTATTTGTTTTGTTTTCTTTAAATAACTTCCAATTTAAAAGTACCATTTATCAATTTTTCTTCGACAATATTCAAATCACTCAAATTTATAACTCAAATTCTTTGTTTTTCAAATAACAAAGTTTTTAAAAAAAAAATGTCCTTGATTTTCAACTTGCAACTATTATAACACCTCTTATAAAATTTTAATGTTATCATTATATCAAATAATTGCAGAGTTTACTTCATTTTCACACTTTTCAAAAAATCCTTAAAATTCATCATATTT